AGAGAAGGAAATTGACAGAGGATGGCCTTCAGGATGCATTTTGGTTTTGTTTATGTGCTAGCTTGCTTCAGTCATGTTCGACTCTGTGACCTCCGTGGCTCCTCTGCCCATGAAATTCCAGGTGAGAATTCTGGAGTGAGTTGCCACTTACGTACTCCAGGGGACCCAGAGATCGAACCGGCTCTCTCGCACTGCAGGCGGGGATGCAGTCTTTACCATCTGAGCAATCAGGGAAGGCCTGCCCTTTAGGCTGGAAATCAGCAAAGTTCTGGAGACCAGAACCACGTGGGAGATTCTGGGATCTGCATGCCATGTCCTTTGTGTTCTTGAAATGTGATGATATGACCAGACAGCTGCGGATGGAGAAGTCTCAGGTTGTCCTGCCTGTTTGAGTTTCTCTTTTCTGCCTCTGGTTCCCTGGTTAACTTGACTCCTGGTAGCACAGATTAATAATATTACAACTACCTTTTAAATAATAATAATGTGCTCAGTCATGTCTGACTATTTGCGGCCCATGGACTGTAGCCTGCCAGTCTCCTCTGTCTATGGGATTTCTCTGGCAAGAATACTGGAATGGGTTGCCACTTCCTGCTCCAGGGGATATTCCCAACCCAGAGATCAAACCCACGTCTCTTGCATCTCCTGCACTTGCAGGCAGATTCTTTACCACTAGCACCACCATATTATTATCTTCTTTTTAACAGTGCATTGAACTCTAGTTTTAAATGGACATTTAGTGCTTGTATGTGGGGTTAAGTATAAAGCAAGGCTATCCTAGAAAAATTTTTTTTTTCCTAAATTGTTTCTTTCAAAGTACTTTTCTTTCTCAGTTGGAACCAAATCTTGGTAATTTCATACTATATATAATTGACCACTACCATGTGTAATTTATAGATATGAAACATTTTTTGCATTTTTCTGTGGGAAACACTGATGTGCATTTACCCAGGCTCTGTGATGCATGCATTTGGACAAGACTGTCTCTTTGTAATTAGTTAATGCTTTTTCAACTTTCGTATGGTTGGTCCTCAGTACCTTAAAAAACTTAAAATTTGTTAGCAATTATTTCATAGTTTTTAGTTCCTAAGAACGTATGAATTTTCCTTGAAAATGTGAAATAAATTGCTTTTGGCAAGCACGTTAGTAATTTCTAGATAGAGGATTATTTTTTTGGAGAAAATTCACAGTTTGAAAAGTCTTTCTTCTGAAAAATGATTTGAAATTGAATGGATCAGATTATTCAGCCTTCTTTTTATCAGTTTCCTTCCCCTTCCCCTTTATCAGTTTCAAGCCCTCATTCCTTACCTTGTTGATTTCAACCTTCCATTCTTTCATTAAGGTGATTATGAGTTAGCTTCTTCCAAGATGTAGGGACTTTTTATTTATTTATTTTGTGCTGTCAGTTGTACATCTTGAAAAATTGTAAAATCATTCTCTTATTCTGTATCTCTTCCTAGCATCACAATTTCTGGCAGAAACATGTCATTCAAAAAAAGACCCAAATATAGTTTAAAGAGGACACTGAAACCAAAGGCACATAAAAAATAAAACTTTTGATGAGGAAGCCTAGTGACTCGTGTGTGTGTGTGTGTGTGTGCGTTTGTGTGTGTGTCAGAAGCTACAGGAAACATTTGGAACTAAACACCACTGAATCTTTCACGCTTTAAAACATCAGGCAGCACTATTCACCACAGCCAAAACACAGGCACAGCCTAAGTGTCCATAGATGGATTAGTGAAGAAAATGCGGTGTGTGTGTGTGTGTGTGTGTGTGTGTGTGTGTGTGTGTGTGTGTGTGTGTGCTGGTGGCTCTTCAGTAGAGAATCTGCCTGCAGTGCAGGACACATGGGTTCAACCCATGGATTGGCAAGATCTCCTGGAGAAGGAAATGGCAATCCACTCCACTGTTCTTACCTTGGAAATTCCATGGACAGGAGAGCTTGGCAGGCTACAGCGCATGGGGTCATAAGAATCGGACTCGTCTGAGCCACTAAACCACCACCACCATATACACATGCATGCAATGGACTATTAAGCCCTACACAGAAAGGAAAAGCTACATGATCTCATGTATATGTGAAATCTAAAAAAATTCACAGAAGCAGAGTTGAGCCGTGGTGACTAGGAATGTGGAGGTGGGGATAAATCTGGGCAGCATCCACTTCTAGGCATACACACTGAGGAAACCAGATCTGAAAGAGACACGTGCACCCCAATGTTCATCGCAGCACTGTTTATAATAGCCAGGACATGGAAGCAACCTAGATGCCCATCAGCAGACGAATGGATGAGGAAGCTGTGGTACATATACACCATGGAATATTACTCAGCCATTAAAAAGAATTCATTTGAATCAGTTCTAATGAGATGGATGAAACTGGACCCCATTATACAGAGCGAAGTAAGCCAGAAAGATAAAGACCATTACAGTATACTAACACATATATATGGAATTTAGAAAGATGGTAACGATAACCCTATATGCAAAACAGAAAAAGAGACTCAGATGTATAGAACAGACTTATGGACTCTGTGGGAGAAGGCGAGGGTGGGATGTTTCAAGAGAACAGCATCGAAACATGTATATCTAGGGTGAAACAGATCACCAGCCCAGGTGGGATGCATGAGACAAGTGCTCAGGCCTGGTGCACTGGGAAGACCCAGGGGGATGGGGTGGAGAGGGAGGTGGGAGGGGGGACCGGGATGGGGAATACATATGAATCCATGGCTAATTCATTTCAATGTATGACAAAAACCACTGCAATGTTGTAAAGTAATTAGCCTCCAACTAATAAAAATAAATGGAAAAAAAAAAATCTGGGCAGCATGGTGGCTGTAGATGATAATACTGTATTGGCCATTGGACATATGCTAAGAGAGTGGATTTAAGGTGTTTTTACTTTACATGCAAGTGATGACTAAGTAAGGAGACAAGTTTATTAGCCTGACTATAGTAGCGGTCATGTATTCTGTGTGTGGACATCAAATATTCATGCTATAATCCTTAAATACACACAAATTTTGTTTACAAAAATGAATTGTCTGAATCACATCACTCATCAGTGACTGAGAAATGACAGCAACTTTCATTCCTAATGTATAATTTGTTTTACTGCTGGATATAGTTATAGAATGCCATATTCTACAACAAACTAGAGGTTCTTCACAGAAGGTTGGGCCTACCTCTTCTCTCTTTATGGGACATTAATGGCATAAACGCTGTCCTTTGACTCTCAGTAGAGGCTGATTGTCGAGGCTAAACCCCGACGAAAACCTCTCTGACACCCGTTGCTTTGGCTTGAAAGAACTGTAGAATGATCCTTTTTACACCCAAAATAAAAACACATTTATGTGGGGATATCCCCATCTGTGACGTTACAAGTCAGCCAAGCGTGACCCTCAGGCTTGAATGGATTCTCATTGCTTCTCTGCAGGCTGTTAGACAAGTCAACACAGAATCAGTGTCTCAAAAAGGGTAATGGGAACCTCCAGGATGTGTGAATCTTCAATCCCTTTATTCTATCTGGTTAGACCATGGGGATTTATAAATCAGCCCATGGAAAGACAAAAAATGAAGTAAAACCATCCGTGGTTGCTGGGCTTCATAAACAACAGCCATCAATCCCTACACCTGTTTCAAATTAGATTGCTAAAATAATGTATTCAGACAAACATTGCAATTTGAAAGAGTAGATTTTTAAATAAATTATAATGGCTATACAACTAATTTTAGTAAGAATTTCAAATAGCAAAATTAATGCAACCCATATTAGCATTGCTGAGGAAAGCACCTGGTAAGAGCCTGCTCAGAAATGCAACATCAAATCGGATAGTAGTCCAAAGTCTGCCTTCCTCCCTGGTGCCACTTAGACCTTTCTTTCAGGTTTAATAAACAGGCATTTGATGTTTTGTACACGATTCCAGAGTTTCAGAGTTACTCTTGAGTAAATCTCATCAAAGTGTATTTACAGTGTTAATGGCTTCTGTATTTGCCATTCTCTCTCACTCTCTTCAGTTACCTACATACCTCATTTGTTACTCTATCTACCTGCCTACCTACCTACATCTATCTATCTACCATCTCTATCATCTGTCCATCTATCTCTTCATGTATTTCTACTGCCATCATCTCTATTTACTGATCTGTTTTACCTATCTATCCATCTCTCTCTTTCATCAGTGATATCTTCTTCCTTTCCTTTTTATCTGTTACAGATTATCTAGTGTCTGTATCTATCTATCATCTATCCATCTATCATATAGTTCCAACATGAATCTATTTCTCCTTGTCGCCCAGGGCTCTAGCCTAACTTTTTGACACCCTAGACACTTTTCCCCCTTAATCACAAATTCAGCCAACAAAGCAAGCATTACTTTTATTCAGAGAAAAGGATATGTGCTCTACAGAAAAAAGTTCATAGTGTTATATTATATAGATGCAGCAGACACAAGCTGGTCTTGTCTAGATAATTTCGACCACCCAAAGTGTTCTTTGTTTTAAAAAAGACAAGGCTTTGCAAGGTAAACGCAGAGGACAACTTTACAGCCTCAGAAGGTCTTTTTCATATGTAAATATGAGTAATTATGTGAAATCTGTGGACGTCACACTGAAAATGTTTATTTATTGGTGTTCAGTTATCCTCTAAATAGATCTCATTAACTGCACTCTCCATTTATTTTGTTTATACTGACTTAACCTTTGGCCATTCCGAACACTATAAATATGAGAATAAATACTTGATAGGCTTAACATATAATATGGGTTGATTTCATTTTTAAAGCTGATAATATCTTTGGAGTGATAGCAGTTTGAATTCCATAGAATCCTATAATCAGGGGCTCTCAAATATATATAATCATTACTTTAAAAAGCAACTTGATATCATTTGAAATAACAATGACATTATGGAGCAAAATTAATTCTCCAAATGGATGTTTGCAGTATGCAAGGTTCCAAAGAGTTCCGTTATGCTAAGTAGTTCTGTTTTGTGTTTGATTCAGGTCATCAAGCTTGCCTTTGAGGAGTTTGAGCTAGAAAGAGGTTATGACACCCTAACTGTGGGCGACGCGGGAAAAGTAGGGGACACCAGGACCGTCTTATATGTGTGAGTACATCTTCCCTTGTTTTTTTCTTTCCAGGATGGGGAGGTGTCTGTGCAGACAGGGGTGTGGACTGAAGATCCTGGTTAGACTTTCCATTCCCAATCAGAAGTTTAATAGATGCCACATGTGGCTACATTAGTGGTGTTCAAATCTGATTTCGCATGAGAATTAATTCAGCATTGTGTTATATTAATGTCTCTGCCAATGTTTTTCTTTTTATTTCAAATCATTAAGAATATGGCAAAAATTTAGAATATATTGGAAAGCAGAAAGTATAGGTGATAAGTTTCTCAACTTAGCTCCTCCCCATCAATCTCCTTCCACTTATTCTATTATTCAATGTTTGGGAAGTACAAATATTTTCTACAGTGAGGCCATGTGTCTTTCCAAAGCCTTGCATTCTATAGAGCTGCGTACTAACTGTAGCAGAGATGGTGGGGAGAATAGTGGGGGTAACACCCTGCATGTCTGTGGACCTCACAACCCAGAGTCCTGGGGCATTCAGAAGCAGCCCGGCCAGGTCCACCATGCGAGGAGTCCTTGCACTCTCCCCTCTGCAGCTGGACTCACAGAGGGATCTGCACCCACAGAGGGGTTTGCACTCAGAGGGGTTTGCACCCCTTCAGCCTGGATGCTTTCAGCCTCTTGCAGATGCATGGCCCCAAGGCGAGTCTGGTCAGTTTTTAGCAGACTTGTTCTTTCAGAATTAAAGCCGTGACCCCGGGGGTATCTTGACTCAGTAGCTTCAGCACAGCAGGAAGTGTCTCAACAGTCCCTTCCTCTGCGTTTGCAACCTACACAGACAGCTTCCTGCGGGGACTCCAGAAACACCTAAACCAGAAATTGCTTTCAGGAATGGAAGTCATTCTGCAGGATTGTCACCTTTTTTCTCTTAATCTGCTTATTCATGGCTGAGGTTTTCTGTTTATCTGAGAGAAAGCTTACCCCTGATAGCTTCAGCTAGGAAACAATGACAGTAGTGGAATGGCTGTAATGCCCACTTATTCTCTTATTTACTACTTTCTTATGAGGTAATTCATGTTGTAAAAAAAAGTTCTGCAGCTGAATGTCTGTCCATACCTTTAAAGTTAATGGGCCTGAGCTCAGATGGCCCTGGGGACATTCTCTTCTCCTTTGTTGTGTCTTGGACATACTTTCCTGTCAGTACATATCTTTATCTCGTGTTTTATAACTACTACAAATAATAATTAAAATCATGTTTCATGTTACTGGCCCATGACCTGTGATGATGATTATAATAATAACAGTAGTAATCTCATGGCATTTATTGAGAATATCTTGTGTTCCATGCACTGTGCTAATACATATTATCTTCTTTGGCCTTCACCTTAATCCTATAAGTTAGGGGTTAATGCTGTCTTCATCATACAAATGATGAAACCGAGGCTTAGATTTACCCCAGTTCGCAAACCTGGTGTCTGCTCCAGCAGGTGTTCAGACTTAGTGATCCTGACCATATCTATATTCCTTATCATTGATAACCTTTGGCTTTTCCCCATCCCTCCCATAATTTCCCCTTCCTAAGCAGCTATGCCATAAGCTACTTTGTACAAATAGTCATACTGTTTCATGTGCCTTCAGGAAAAACTATATAGATTTTCTTCCACCACAGTATATGAAGGTCCTTATTTCCTCACACTCCTACCAAATAGTTATTCTTTTTTTTGCTCAAGCCTTACATTGCATTCATTTATAAAAGTGTGGATTTCTGCAGGATGAGGCCTGGACATCTATATATTTGCAGTATGCCATGTTGATGGCGGGCGCACAGCCTGGCATGGGTCTGTAGAGGCACTTGTGGACACCAAGTCAGTGCATAGTGATGGGGCCAGGGTGCCAGAGATGGAGTTTCTGGCCCGAGCTTTGCTCTTAACCATCTGTGACCCACTCTGTACCTGTGTTTTCATGGCTATAAAATATGTATAGTAAACGTTTCCTGCCTGTGGTAAGGAGCAAAATGAAATAATGCCTGTGAACACACTGGAGAGTGGAGAATTACAACCTGCACACGAGAGAGCTTTATTATTACCACAGCGTCTAATTTAAGAAGGGGTGTCATTAAAACAGATGAGAAAAGTTTTCAACTAAATGCAAAATATAAAATATAAATGTGGCCAAGTGGTGCCATATAAAGTCCCTTAGGTCACCATTAAAGATCTGTGGCTGTGCACCCATTTTTTTTCAATGCTGTTTGTTGTTAAGAGCTCAATAGCAAGCTATGTGTTACATTGACATAAGTGTTATTAGAATCTCCTCCCAATAGCTCAAATCTATAAATGAAAAACTAAATAGTCAACTGAATCAAAGTGAGATGCCCTTTGGGAAACATAATGTAACAAAGATCAGTTGGGCATTTAATCATTTGTAGTAGAGAAAGGCAAAGCCACTGATGTATTTTCTCAGTATACACAATTACAGAATAAGAACGAATGGGAGAATCACAGCTGTTGTCTTCAGATAAACTGGTAATGTTAAGGGATATATCAAGAAATATTTTTGAGTACTAATATGTCAGACCTGACATACAAGACTCCTATCATAGAGTTTAAAATCTAATTGGAAATGGCAGTGATGCTCAGATGGTTATATACCAGAAAGTATATTGAATCATTGAATCTCCTGATATAGATTTCAAATAAAATTTGAGTTAAGAACATTTTATTTATGGGTGGCTAATGTATACTATGTTGGGCTCAATATTTTATACGTTCCCATTTTTAGGGGGGCTGAGGAATTCTATTCAGATCTTAATCTTAAGGAGAAATTCAGAAAGTGAGAGAGTCTAACTGGCTCATCCTAAATATAGTTTTCAAAAGCCTAATTTCTGTTAAAAAGACTGTTAATGTCTTTTTATTTTCTCAAGTTTCTTGGCCTGAAAGGAGAAAAACTGAATATTAGGGGAACTCTTTCAATAGTCAAGTCTTCCCAAGAGATGGATGAATTTATTCAGGTTACTTTTACAGAATGACAGACTTCAAATCAATTCACCTAGCAAATCTCTCTTGAGACCTCTTCAACAATACTTATTGATAACTTTCTCAAATGTAATTTGCGGAACTGCATCCAGATACATGGTTCTTTAAGACTTTCCTCTGGCCTTTGCAGTTACTAGCAGCCGGTGCCTGGGAAATGGCACTCATTTCAGGATGTTCTGAGGATTACAGACATAGATGACAGGTTGTAAGTGCCCATCTGTCTAGGCGAGGGGTAATATCAGGGAAATCTGTGAGCAAGCAACATTGCCTCTGCCTGACTACTGGTCACTATTCATCTTAACCAGTAAGGATACTTTGTTGCTGTTCAGTCCCTAAGTCCTGTCTGACTCTTTGTAACCCCATGGCCTGCAGCAAGCCAGGCTTCCCTGCCCTTCACCATCTCCCAGAGCTTGCTCAAACTCATGTTCATGGAGTTGGTGATGCCATCCAACCATCTCATCCTCTGTGGCCCCATTTCCTCCTGCCCTCAATCTTTCCAAGCTTCAGGGTCTTTTTCTAGTGAGTCAGCTCTTCACATCAGGTGGCCAAAGGATTGGAGCTTCAGCTTCAGCATCTGTCCTTCCAATGAAGATTTAGGGTTGATTTCCTTTAGGGTTGACTGGTTTGATCTTCTTTCAGTCCAAAGAACTCCAAGGAGTTTTCTCCAGCATCACAATTCTAAAGCATCAATTCGTGGATGGTCAGCCTTCTTTTCAGTCCAGTTCTTACCTGTGTACATGGCTATTGGAAAAACCATAGTTTTGCCTTTGTCGGCAAAGTGATATCTTTGTTTTTTAATACCCTATCTAGGTTTGTCTTAGATACCTTCCCTTCCAAAGAGCAATCATCTTTTAATTTCATAACCGAGGTCATTGTCTGCAGTGATTTTGGAGCCTAAGAAAATAAAATCTGTCACTGTTTCCACTTTTCACCCATCTATTTGCCACGAAGTGATTGGACCAGATGCCATTAGTTTTTTGAATATCGAGTTTCAAGTCAGCTTTTTCATTCACCTCTTCCACCCTCATCAAGAGGTTCTTTAGTTCCTCTTCCCTTTCTGCCATTAGATTGGTATCATCTGCATATCTGAGGTTGTTGATATTTCTCCCAGCCATCTTGATTCCAGCTTGAGGTTCATCCAGCCCAGCATTTCACATGATGTACTCTGCATGTAAGGTAAATAAACGGGGTGACAACATACAGCCTTGAAGGTCTCTATTCCCAATTTTGTACTGTCTATTGTTTCATGTCTGGTCTAACTATTGCTTCTTCTCCTGGATACAGGTTTCTCAGAAGACAGGACAGGTGGTCTGATATTTCCATGTCTTCAAGAATTTTCTACAGTTTGTTGTGATCCACACAGTCAAAGGTTTAGCCTAGTCGGTGAAGCAGAAGTCGATATTTTCCTGGAACTCCCTTGCTTTTTTTATGATCCAATAAATGTTGGCAATTTGGTCTCTCATTCTTCTGCCTTTTCTAAATCCAGCTTGCACATCTGAAAGTTCTCAGTCCAGGTACTGCTAAAGCCCGGCTTGAAAGATTTTGAGCATTACCTTGCTAGCAAGTGAAATGAGCACAATTGTATGGTACTTTGAACATTGTTTGGCATTGCCTTTCTTTGGCTTGAAATGAAAACTGACCTTTTTCAGTGCTGTGGCCACTGCTGAGTTTTCCAAATTTGCTGACATATTGAGCACCACTACAACATTGTAAAGTAATTAGCCTCCAACTAATAAAAACAAATGGAAAATAAATAAATAAATAAAAGCCAGAAAAAAAAAAAGCGCATCACTTTAAAACTCCATCTTTTAGGATTTGTTCTAGCTCAGCTATAATTTCATCACATCCACTAGCTTTGTTGATTGTAATGCTTCCTAAGGCCCACTTGACTTCACATCCCAGAATGTCTGGCTCTAGCTGAGTGACCACACAATTGTGGTTGTCTGTGTCATTGAGACTTTTTTGTATATTTTTCTGTGTTTTCTTGCCACCTCTTCTAAATCTCT